GGTTTGAGGTTTGGCAAACTCTATAACTCCAAAGTATTCCACAAATGTTTTGTGTTCTGCAAAACCAAAAAACATTGGCCAAGCACTTTCCCCTCTAATTTTTAAGCCCATGTGTTTTTAAAGGAAATGTAATCCGTATGTTTTAGTAACATTTATATGCAACTCATCAAGCCATGCTCCTCCGCATGAGTCATTTGATGTCTAAAATGCATGGGGAGAAGCAGGGGTTGAAAGGAACTGTGTTAGCATGAGAAAGGCCACAGTGAGACACTGGACAGAAGGTGGTACACTGGTCCTGATGCTAGATCAGAACCACCAGATCCCAGATTTGCAAATGATTCTCCATATCCTTACCCACCCATCTTTTCCATCTACATAATGGCATTAAAAGTCCTTGCCTACATCAGTTCCTGCCGCCAGCTAGTGTGAATTAAATTACTAAGCAGCTAATGATATAACTAAGTAATTTGAATTTTTGAAAGAGGAAAAACACTTAAAACTTTTATAATTGCCTTAAACAAGTCCATTGTAAGGTATTTTCCCAGAGTGCTGGAGGAAGAAGCCATACATCCTTGTCCCATTGTAAGACATCAAGAGTGCTTCCATGCTTTATCTGCTAGAATGTTTCAGCTTGGTTTTCTGTCCCCAGATAGGAGATCCTTGTTTAGAGCATAAAAAATAGATGGCGAAGCTATAATCAATAGTCTATAAATGCAGGCTGAGTATACAGAAGGCTTATTTGAGACTGAAATAGTTGTGGGTGTTTGAATAGAGTTTTTAGAAGGCAGATCCTGTTCTCAGTATCTGTTGAAGGTGGATCACGCTGAGGATAAGGTGTTAACATGACAGCATGGGATGCTCAGCTCTAGAGTCAGGCAGACACCATTCTACAACAACACCAGCTTTGCTCTGGGATGATGAGAAAGCCACTTAACTCCTGAACACCTCAACCCTTTTTAAGATGCAGGTTGTTTAAATTAGGGGAAAAAAGAAGGATGAGCCCCCAAAATGGGAAGTGTTCATTTGCAATAACTGAGACTGTTACCAATGGGCCTCAGAGTACCCTGTGGGGTGGGGAGGGGAGCTACATTTTTTTTAATTGACCCAGAGTATAGTATACAGCTGTTTATGTGTTGCAGTATGATAACTCAGCATGTATGCACAACATATAATAGTCAAGTCAGGTCAACATTCCCTTATCCTTAAACACTTCATTTCATTGGATCAGGAAGTTTTAAACTCTTCTAGATCTTTAACTGTGGACTTCAGTCATCCTAAAACTTTGTAGCATATTAGAACTTATTCTCTTGTGTAACTATATTTTGATATCCACCATCCTGCTTTCTCCTGTCCTCCTTACTCCCTCTCCCTTTAACTTCCAATAGCAACTTTTCTACTTCTCTGTTCTACAAAAATCAACCATTTTAAGTTCTGGATATGTTGTGTGCCACTTGGCTCTTTGTGGTGATGTGTTTCACTTAACTGTCTTTTATTCCTGCTGATTCACAAATGAGAGGACTCAAATTTTCACATTCTAAAAAATAAATGAAGCGCTGAAATGTGTTTATGTCTGACTTTGGAGTTGTACTGCACTGTTGTGCTAGCCATTTGTCTTGTTTTCCCATAATTCCACTTTCTAGGAGTCTTACAGAGATGAGGAACCCACCAAGCAGGACAGAAAAATAAGCATCTTCCCAAAGCAGCACAATATTTGCTAGCCTCCCAGGTGTCTCCCCTCAGGACTTCAGCTAAGAGGTCCTCAAAACATTCTGGCCAGTGGAAAGTCTTTGGCATTCCTCTTCTTAAGGTGAAAGTGGACTTCAGTTCCTGGAGCATAGAGTCAATGTTGGTTGACACAAGCTAATTTTATCATATCTAGGTACCTCCCATACCATGCTGCTAAGACCCAGTCACAAACAGAGCCTGACTCTGTAGCCACAGGGCCTCCACAATATTCAAACATAGCAAACACGTATTTGTCTTTACATCTGCTTTCTGCAACCCTCCTCCCCACACACACCTGACTCATTGCATTTATCATTAACACTAACCCCAACCACCCTACAGAAAGAGTTCCGACTCCCACTCGACCTCTTGATTGCATTTTCTTACCAAAAATTAACGTACTTTTCTTGCTTTTTATTCCTAATGGGTTTGAACATTCTATATGGTAATTTCCAAGGGTGTATATATACCTTTTACTGTAGCTTCCAAGAGTAGGGTGCCTATGAACAGGAAGCACTAACTGACGAATTAAAGTAAACTTTAGAAAAGTAACTTAACCAAATATTTCAGATTGTAAAGGCTCCAATGCAAGACAAAAGAAGGAAAATGAGAGAATTATGCTAAGCATCCATAAGAAAATAGACAGAGACCACTCCTCAAAAAGGAAGGATAGCTGAATAAATAACTTCGACATGTTTGGCCAAGGAGACATATATTTGGGTATAAAACAGAAATTTTTTACTTTGGGAGATAAGACCTATCTAAAAGTATAAAGAACACTGTGGGCTTATTTTTTAAAAATACATCTGCTCATGTGGATGGAAAAGAATGGGGGCAAAATTATATATTATGATCTCAAAAACATACTTACATAGAAGAGCCCACAGAACCCTGAAAAGGCATCCATTGACTCCAAGCTACAGGTTTCAAATACCCGTACCATACATGACCTATCTATCATGAGTGTCCCATGACTTTTTAATACCTTATCACTAATTAGGTCTTCAATAAGCTCAGAGTACAGAATCTTAGAAATGAAGAAAGGAAAGTGCTTTTGTGACCTGGACTATGAGCTAATGGTAGGGAACATCTGAGATAGAAAGATGTGTGTTTGTTCTTTACTGGATAGGCTTTGAAAATGAAGGTTTTTGTGGAACAGAAAAATCACTTGTCCAAGAGTCACTCTCTCACTGAGTTCTAGGATGCTTTCCCATCAACTGTCACCTAGAACACATTGCTTAATGATGTTATCTAAAATGGGAGATTGACTGAATTTTCTGTTACTCAATTGATGTGACCTTATGGATTTTGAGACAAACAAATTTAGGAAAATAAATGTATGTTGAATATAAAGCAAGAGTTTAGTTTTTTTAAGTGCTTTTATAAAGCATTTTGCTAAAGAAAAGATCACCATAGGTGGTTTGAAACATATGTGTATGGTATAGTGAGGTGAAGGCATAATCTAAAGAATGTCATTGTGCAGCTTAGTCATTGTATAGACATTATAGAATGTCCCTGCAGAAATCTAGAACTAGGCCCACTACACACCTTTGCGGTAAGGTAGATGACATCACACATGTGGTTTGTCCTTGCTGATGAAACACTGGTCTGTGATGCTTGATTAGATAATGCACCACATATTTCATGGAATAGTTCTAAATATAAATTGTTGGTTTATCCAGAAACTGCTGCAGAGAGAATACCACAGATAATTCCTGGAAATCTGCTGTCCAGATGTAAAACCATCCTTGCAGATTATTAAAGAAGTCCATCGCATTGCAATGGCTGTGCTACACCAGACAGACACATCACACTCACTCAGCCTGTAGTGTCTGTATCTGATGAATTTGCCTAATTGAAGACTGTGGATATGTCTGGTTCCAATGGCCATCTCAGGTGTCTCCTAACTTTCCATAGATAACAGATTTCCATTTTATGTAGAAAATCATTTAGGGAGAAGGAAGCATTATCAGCCAGAAAACCAGCACAGTCTTCTAAAGCTTTTGACAACAGGACGAAATGATTCTGTGAACACCTGTAACACCTGGAACTGATGATACAGGTCATAAAGAAAGGTGGCATTCCCCTTCATCGCTGAAACTTATCTTTGCTGTAACAGATGGAGACTACTGCAGAACACCACAACTGACCAAAAGCCAGAGTTGAGAAGCAAAGTCCCAGTTGGTACATCTACAACACAACTCCCACACCCAAGGCTCAGGGATCAGTTTGGAAAAGGGTGTGGAAAGGGTCTAAGAGCTACAATAAAAGGCAATTTTCTGTGAGAGTGTATCTCCCAGAGATATCAGAGAAGCTACACACATGAAATCTCACCAACATAGCTACCTAAACATGACCTGAACAAGGGTAATGTGACAGGCAGGCTTATGTGGAAAAAGGAAAGCTCACAGCCCTAAATCAAGAACTGCAGCCACTACGGAGTGCTGAGAGAGGGAGATACAGTCTGCCTGCAGAGAAGAGAGCCCCAGTTGGTTCTCCAATACCAAATGGCCAGCCCTGAAAACATCCACACACATAACATTATATAGATCGAGACGGTTGTATTTGTGTGTTTAGGAATACAACACACAGGCATGAGCACAACAGCAATTAAAGAAAAGGGGCCATGAATTATAAAGAGAGCAAGGAGAGAGCACATGGGAGGATTTGGAGGATGGAAAAGAATGGGGGCAAGATTATATATTATAATCTCAAAAACTATAGCACTTGTTTTTACAAAAGGGGAAAAGAAAGGTGGCATTCTAGAAACACCCCCTTTCATAAAGTCAAAAGTGTACACAACTTGGGGGAGTATTTCCTAGGAATAGAATGGTTGCATTTGTCTTTACAAAGTTCAACTCATAGAGGTAGTAATTTTCTGAAGTCTCATTTTTCAGACATGTGAAGTATATGAGACACCAGTGCAGCCAATGCAGACACCTTCAGACACCAGAAAAACACACCAATCCATCAATAAGAATGAGTGGCCATGTGGCTTGCTTTATGTGGACTGAATCACACAGCATCATGTAGGGGGTAAGACAGCATGAAGCATTTGTTATGGTAATTTAAGTTGTGTAAGAAAGAATTTGGAAGATGTGCCTTTAGTGGGAGGGGACTCGGATAAGCCAATTTCTCTTTTCCGTGAGTCAATGTGGTTGTGGAGTACGCAAATATTCTCTAGGAATCAGGAGTCAAGGGCCACCAGTGAGATATGGGAAAAGTAATCTCCAAAAGAAAAGAAGCCAGTGAGTGTCTCACCCCAGGGTCCTTACCTGTTTCTTCCAGAATCTCTGAATCCTTTAGCAAATGGGTTTCGGTCAATTTTCAATCTGGTGATCTGGAAGTAAACAAATAAATATCAATTGTTTTCATATTAGCCAATTTCCTTTTGTGTTAGTCCTACAAAATTAACAAAAACTCACTCTATTAGTAACATCTGTTGTTTTTATTTCGTTTCCTTTTCGTTGGAGATTTAAATTTCAGTTTGACATAGGGCTTGGGCCTGGCACCCAGATGTGTGACTCACTTTTTTCTGACGACCAAGATTTGCCCTGTGTGTGACTTTGCTCTTACTTCTGCTCCCAGTCCTTGACCCAAACTAATGATAAACTTGGTGTATAGATGGACGCAGAAAAAGGAAATTGGATGGTGACACAGAGGAGGCACTTCAGGACTGCTTGTTGAGTGAATGAGTGATGGATAGCTGGTTACATTCATTGATTCCACCCAGTAAACTACCAACAGACAATCAGCTTCAGCCTGAGGGAAGCAAATAATTGGCTGCATTTCCCATGTAACATAATATGTGCCTTTCCTGCCACCAGAAATCGCTCATTTAATGACCTGAAATGTTTGTAGAAATGACACAAAAAGCAGCTCAGTTTTTACCCAAAGTGGGGAGGTTCCTCACATATGAAACCGAATGGGGCCACATGAAATGCTTCTCGTGTGGTCTGTGAGACTCCTCAGCAAATGAGAAGGAGTAAAGAGGAGGCTGTGAAGGCTGGCCAAAGCCAACACATACACTTGTGCTGCCCTCTTGGTCAGGTCCTCAGAGGTCATCCACTTTTTACCTCCTCTTTTACCTCTCCAGTTTTTCCTGTCTTCGTCCTAGTAAACCCTGACACAGTTGGATATAGATCACCCTAATGCTTCCAGACTAGAAAAAGCCTGAACAACATATTCCATATGAGCACGAGTGTTGTTGCTTCCAGGCTTGGTCATGGGAGGCATTTTGATACCTTTGTGTCTGAACCAGATGTAAATGACATGCTCTGTGCAAGATACAGACACTCAGGCTTCCAGAAGCCAGAAAGCCTTATAGCCCATTTTTAAAAATGAAATTATACACATCCTTCAAGATCTGTCTCTCCTACTATCTTAAGGAAAAGGCGCAGAGCCTTTCAACTGGCTGATTTCTCTGAGTTTTCGGGCTAATTTTAAATTTTGAAATTTCAGGCTGATTTGAAAATGCTTTATGAAATTATTTTTTCCCATATCTCATTGGGGCTCCTTGGCTCCTGACTCCCAGAGAGTGGACAGCCCCATATTCTGATTCCATATTCTGCAATCATGTTGATCCATAGAAAGAGAACTGGGTAATTTAGTTAAGAGTCCTCAAGTCCCCCTTCCACAAAAGGCACACCTTCAAATTCTGTATTACACAAATTGAAGGTCAGGGAGCTCAAAAGAATGAAAGGGACTCTAAAAAGTCAACCTGGAAATATGGAAATCTTGTTGTTTAAGGGCAGACTGAGATCGCTGCTAACTGCAAAATGTATTCTCACTAAGACAATAAAAGTTGGCTCCTCTGCTGCTGCTCTTTCCCAGTCCTTCTTCCTCCTCACCTCCTCAGAGTGGAATTTGCCAAAGCCACAGACTTTAAAATGTCTTTAAAATGCAATGTGATAGTCTCACAAACAGACTCTGGCTTGAAAGCACCATACTGGCTTCAAGGTTATTTTGCTCCCTAAACATTCCTTGCCTCTAGAATGGTGCACTAATAATGTAGCAAAGGCAATTTTGCATCTATTTTATAGACCAGAGCAGGAGCCTAAAGGTTTGGCTTTCTGAAGTCTAGTGTCTGCCATGTGAATACAGTATTGAATTTAAAGAGCGCCACTGTTTCTCTGTGTTTGACTTAAAATCAGTTCTTTCTTCCCCCATAACCCACCTCAATAAACCACACGCCATATTTTCTTTTCAAGTTGGGGTTATAATATTTTATTTTCTCTTTCAAGTTAGCTTATCCTGTCCAACTCATTTATGATAGTGGTTTCTGATATACAATTGCACTGCCGTATTTGGGGCACCTCCACAGACCCCTGTAAATATAACGACATTCTAGTTCGTGGCCTGGGAGAAACAGTTGAAAATCTGATTCCCACAGCTGAGTGTAGCCCAGGCCAAGGGGTCTGTATGGAAATTTAATAAGAAGGGCCCAAGGATGTTGGAGAAAATAGCACTCCTGTACTTGTTCCAACAATTTTAATGAGAGGGTTAGAAAGATTTATGAAGAGTGTGGTTTTGATGGTTGTTATTTATCAAATATCTTTTGTGTGCTAAAGGTGACAGGTGACACTGGTGACAGTTTGCTGAGTAGACAGCGTGTGGTTGTGTCTCCTCCTTTATAAGCTTTGAGAAGCTTATAATCTAGAAGAACAAAGAGCAGACATGCACAGTAGTAACAACACAAAACAGATCAGAATTAGACCTACAACAAAAGCACACAAGCCTGAAAATTCTGAGGAATCAGCAAGTTGAAAGACTCCAAGTCTTCACCTTAGAGGTAGCAGAAGAGCCAGGCCTTGAAGAACATGTATAATTTCATTTTTTAAATTGCCACGAGGCTCGCTGTCCTCTGGAGGACAAGGATGATTAAAAGGAGAATGCTCTTGGAGTAGAAGTTGAGAATTCTTTCTCCTTCCCCAATGGAGACAAAGGGTAAGTAAACAATTGGATTGTCTGTGTCTGTTTTCACATTCAGATTAATACCTAGAGGGTGCGGTAGGGAGACTAGGAAAGGCTGACACCAGATGTATGTGTGTGGTGGTGGCTAACAATGACACAGACATGCTATAAACACAGAAGCTAATCAGGGCATTTGGATGACTCCTGGTAGAAAGCTGGACAAGAAGGAGACCCAGATGCAAGAAAATAATGTTTCACTTCAGCATTTTTATCATAGCGTGTCAGCACCAGGGACCCTGAAACAGACCCAGGGACCCAGAAGCTGTTCACAGCAGTACAGTGAGCCCAGAGACCATATAGGAACTCACAAGCAGCCATGAGGACATGTAAACCTCTCACTTTCACCCCATGTGTATACCATGCAACCAGAGGCCAGAAGTCTACTGTAGAAAGAGGAAACTAACCTGGGCATCCAAATCAAATCAAGTTATGCTAAAAGACATAAACTTAAAATAGAAATGTAGAAATGAAAAAGTATGCATTCCCCTACCCTACTCAATTACAGGTGAGGACCCTTTTGGGAAAACAGATACACAAAAGTGTGTGTGTGTGTGTAATATGCAGAGAGGAATGAGAGAATATTTCAGTGATTCCAACTCTGTGTCATATTATGTTTTACCGGTAAGATTTGAGTATGCCTTCTCATCTCCCTGCCACAGGCCTGCTTTATTCTTAACCAAACTACTCTAAATGGTCTTAGAACTGATCTTCTTTCTTCTACTTCCTATCCAGTCTAAACAGCAGCCTGACTGGTCTGCATTTGCCCATTCCCACAGTGTGCTGGTTTTTTCCAATGACTACCCCTGTACAGAATTCATCCTCCTTGACCAGACTTGCAGGGCCAGCAGGCTCTGGCTCCAGCCCAGGCTCCAACACTAGCACATTCCTCTACCCTTTGTCTACTGGCCCCAGCCAAACTGAACTGCAGTCCAGTGCTGCAATGTTCCAAGCCCTTCCCTGAAAAGCCTTTCACAGTGCTGTACTCCTTACTCTACCTTACACAGAGCTTACTTTATGCTAAATCTAACACTCTGGGCTCAGAAGACAACTCCCCTGACCACCTCCGCTGGTCTCTTCTACTGCGCTATCTTCGGTGCATTTTTCTTCTTAATCCAACTGTTTTCATTAACCACATGTTTGTTGTCTATTTGCATGTTTACTGTCTCTTTCCCTATATAACAAATAAGGTCCATACCTATTTTAAGTACTGTCTTATTAAGTAGAGCCTTGAATGACATGCATTTGGCACCCAATGGATTTTTGTTAACGAAGGATGAATGCATGGGTGGTTATATGGAATGCTTCATCAAACCCAAAGCAAGGTCAAGATTGAGAGATTCTTCACCAAACCCTCCCTCAACTCCCAGGTCTGTTTCACTTCTGCATCACAGACTAAGATCATAAGTGTCTTTCCGACTAGCGTAACGTCTATTAGTAGTGTCCCAGGAAATTGTGTTCCAAAAAATCTGCATTAGTCTATTTGCAAAGTAGAGGAAAACTGGCTGGGCAGCATAGGACATAAGAAGTGGCTCAGAATCCGGGTGGATTTGCTCCCACAAACCTGGCAGTGGTTTCTGACATCCTCTCTGATTCATGTAGCCAATTCTCACCAAGAATAAGACTGTTACCTAGGGAGAGCATGGCTATGTCTTTTTGGAATCTAGTTTCCTGCTTGGAAAAAAAGATAAAAGTTCAGCAGTCTTTTTCCTCAGAAAAGACAAAGACCACAGTGGAAATTTCTTGATAATTCTAAAGGACGTGCTGACATCAGTATCTTCCAAGAAAATGGATAAAATATTGCATCACCTTTATTCCCAGTCTACCGACCTACTCTCCATGATGAGATTCTGGGAATAGTGTACCATTCTCTTTCACAGACCTGTCAAGCTGGAATTCTGAGAGCAAATAACTTCAGTGTGTTAGGAACTCTGAGAGTCTATAGGTTGTAAGACAAGTATGAAGAAGGAATGGATAGGGGAAAGAAAGTGTAAAATATTCTACAAAAATAAAAGTGTTTAATTCACATTTCACAGCCAAAGAAACAATGCTGTGGGTATACAAGGGAACCAATATCAAAGGCATGATGGCTAATTCTCTCGGGGATGTGATTACTTGTAAAATGCATGTCCAATGCCATACCACCAAAAAGATGTAAATATTTTAAAATTATGGAAGCATGCTTCATCTTAACTCATGGCTTCTTGACTTTAGAATTTCATAAGCTGGTCTAATCCCTTCCCCAACATTTGAGGAATCAACATTTGTATCCCAATTTTTATTCTATCAACAGAAAAAAAAATAGTGCCTAGTCTACAGGTATCACTATTTCATAAAATAAGTAACATATTGCATCAAAAAGTAGACAGGCCAAAATAAAAGAAAGTAGGTGTTTGTAATTGTATTTTTCAGTGAACTACAAAATGCTTCTCCACAGACACTGACACTGATTCAGACTCAGCTATCAATTTGCAAAGTAGAGCATGGCAGAACAGTGATTTACCAAAGCAGTGTGTTCCACCGGCAGCAGGGTCCAGAACTCCAAACTGACATTATCTATCATATCACAGGACAATCAATGTTTATTGTCCTCCAAAAAAACAGCACCCTCAAGTTGGAGAAAGGTTAGATAGTTAGACTATGTCTCTAACATAATGAATGTCATGAAAGAAGGGCAGTGCCCCAAGACTATGAAGGCTGAGCTCATTTGCAACCAGGAAAGAAGGTTATAGGAAGAGGTTAGTATTTTCACCCAACTGGAAAGGTAGAAGGGACACAGACTGAAAAGGTGGAAGGAGAGGGACAATACTGGGGAACTACCTGTAATGGCAAGAACAGTGCAAGTTCAACAACAAAACTTCAGCTAGATCCCTGCACTCTTGCAAGTATGCCATGGGAATAATAGGAAATGAACCTAGAAATGAAGCCAGTGATTAGAGATAAAGGGTTTTAATGGTGAGACTGGAGATCCCGGGCTTTGTTCCTCAGGCCCTGAGGCATCATTGCCAACTTGTTACAAATAAATGGTAGACATATAACTGTGCTTTGTCAAGATCCTTCTAGAGATGATGTGAGACAGTTGGGAAGACGTTTGAATTGAGATCTAAGAAACGCACTAAGAAGCTATCTTTCAGAGCTAAAGGGCAAGGAGAACAGAGCTGTGAGATTAGAAAAAAGAAAACACATCAATAGATGAAACAGAGTCAAAAGGAAGATTTGTGAGGAAATTTTGATGTCAAGCTTGAGAGGCTGGAAACAAGTCACCAAGGACTTAAGTGAATTGAAGAACATAGAGGAGTTTTGTTTTGTTTTTTGACAACAGCAAAATGCAATGTTCCCACCTCTCAAGAATGGACCTGCTAAAATTATCTAGAATATTACATGAATCTTTTAAAATGTTATAAACATGAGAATGTTAGGCTGCCTTAGGTTGATGGCAGGACTTTGCTCTCAATACTCATTGGGGTAGAATGGGGGGAGGAAAAATTATAAATACCCATCTATCAGTGATCCTTCAAATCATAAGATGACCCATTTTCTAGAAGAAACTGAAGTCCAGGAAGATAAAATAACTTTCTTGGAGTGACGTAGTTGCTCATGGAGTTGTAGGACTCTGACCCAGCCCACCAAAGTTCTAGTCTATTGCTGTCTGTGTGACAGGGAAGAGCTCTTCATTAGAAAGACCTGCTGATACTTAAGCTGAGTTCCATTCCTTCTGCTGAGCCTTCTTTACTGTGTTCCTGCAGACATCTTCCTAAGCACACTGTACACCTACCACTGGCTGTTACCCTACACAAGCCTCCTAACCATTTCCTTTAAAAAAGGTAGACAATAAACTTCACCAGAAAATACTGATTGTTCTCATTCTGAAACATAGAGGCTAATAAGAACACAGCAATGAGAAAATATAGCTTTCAAACAACAATTTCTGCTCCCCAGACTTCAGGAAATGTCTGAAAGTCACTGCTATGTAGCAAGTCCTCGTCTGTAGGATACAAACTTCATGATGCCCAATGGGAAAGACCTGAGGTTGCTGTGTTTTATTAGAAGGCACTGTATTATATTAAATCACATCTACACAGCCAAAGGGAGTATTAAACATTCATGCTGGTTGATTTATGCAGTGACTGGGGACTTGTTAAATAGGCAAAAGCTGTTGCCTTGATCTCAAAACAAGCAGAACTGAATATGACCCATCTATTTTGAACATCATCACATCATGAATTCATCAACTTTTCATGAAGACAGAGATCAAAGTAGTAACCTGTTCACCATAATCCCTTCATGAGCCAATGCACCTTGTCCAATTCCCAACCATCTACTTTTCCCTAATGAACAATTTATTCTTTAAACTTGCCTCTATCCCCTGCTTTTTTCCATGTCTTTCTATCCCAGACATATGGCAGTGTTGGCTGATTCATATACATCCTTTATCTACCCCCACATAATTCCAGGGGGTAGGCATATTTGTGGATACAGGAGGTACAAACTGGAAGGAGTTAAGAAACCTATTCAAGGTCACACAATTTGCAGTGTTTCAGTCAGACTCAAACTTGCTATGGAACCTCGGACTTTTAACTTGTCCCACCCCAAACCATCCTCAGACAAAATACATATCTGAGTGTGATGTACTCTGATAGTGGACATGTCTATGAGAGAAAATTAAGTAATGAAAGAGATATCAGGTACCTGTGTTGAATCCCCCTTCATTGTCAAAGTAAACTAAAGCTCTGGCTTCCAGGTGTGTTATAATAATGACTCTTGTAGTCTGTAAAATTAACCTAGATGAAACAGTACTGTGTTCATTTTGTGTTTTTCTACCATGCATGTCCTGAATTTCAATGCTTATTACCACAGCACTGATTTAAAAAAAAAAAAACTACTAATTAAAACAGTAGCTGGCCTCCTACTCCCTCTGTTCTCAGAGAACCTCAGGCTCCAGTTGTTCAAAGGCCATGTGCTTATAGTTGCTATATCTTGCATCAAAATTTGAAAACTTTGCTGAAGATTTCTGTCCAGCCCCACTCAGACCTCTGCAACCTTCCTATGAAGAAGCGTGGGAAGACTTAGTAATTCAAACAGCACCCAAAACATATTCATGTTTTCTTTTACCTTAAAAAAAGCATGGCATCCATAAAGAAAATCTGAATTTAGGAGCACTTTATACAGAAACAGTCTTTCCATGTGAAATATAAAAACCTACCACAATCACCTAGCTAGTACAGAGAAAGTGCTTGATGAGTACCAAATGCTTCCTTCAATTGCTTTGAGCACAGAATGGGGCATCTGATTCAAAAGGCATCAAATGTAGTAATATTGTAAGTTCATTTTGCTTCCAATCGATCCCAAATGAGAGGATGCTAATGTATGGGCTTAGTGAACTGAAATTTCCTTGTTCTGGCAAAGGATTCATTCACTGCAAATGTTCTACTAATTAGACAATTTGACAAATAGAATATAGGATATAAAATGGGTTTGATTGCATATTTTAGGGAACTTTAAAAAGTAAGATTACTTATAAAACCATCTATCTACCCTCTTCACAAAAACTGATTAATGTTCAGACCATGACAGTAATGACCTGTCACTGCCCTTCTCCTATCCACATGTCTTCTACGTTGACTCTGGCTGGTTTCAATTCATGTGACTATCTCAGGAAATGAAACAGTATTTCCAGGAAAATATCCATATTCAACAAATAGAAATTATCTATCTCCATTGTTGTTGAATTACTCCACTGTGTGCATTTACATGTATTCACTTAACTAAACTCTCAATAAGGATAACAGTTGTCCTAATTACTTCACTAACCAGCTCTATTACTCTACAAAGACTAGAACCTAGTAACTTCCTAATACCCACTTAATAAATGAACGAACGTGTATGCCAGAAACAAAATGCTACAGATCCCCAGTATGGTTGTTGATCACTTGCAAATGCACAGAGTCTGGAAATGAAGCAGTGAATCTTAAAGTTTAGAGGCCTGATGGCTTTGAGGTCACATGGAAAAGAAATACACAAAGAAATCTTCAGAGACTCAATCTTGCACAGTGAAAACTGCCAGGAACACAGGGGGACATGAAGACAACATAGGAACTTGGTGCTCTTAATGAAGGAGCTGTGTCTGAGCTACATGTAGACCATGCCAGATGTCACTGGGCATGACCACACTGGCCTCACTAATGTTTCATGTATGTCTCGAGACTTGTGTCTCTGATTGAACTTTTCTGTGTCATTGAGAAGAACTAAGCATTCCTCATCAATAGCAAGACAAAGGTTCTTTGAAAGCTGAGAGGCAGTAGGCTCTCCACTGTGGGCTCTTACCTGCTGGTTCTGATAGGCTGTAACTGTGGTGAACACAGTCTCAGGAAAGTTGAATGTTTTCACCCCATCCCCTATGGGCACAGGTTTGGTGGGTGAAAGATCGCTGCTGAAGTCTTTGCGGATCACATGGACTCGAGGCTGGTATTTATGCATAGAGTGCAGAATGATCTGAAGCGGGAAGAGAAAACTTTATGCTAGGTGTGACTTTGAGATTCCTGCACCTTTTCAAACTCGCATGCAAAATAAATAAGAAGATGGAAGCATTGTGGGAGAAGGGACAGATGAAGGGAGGCCCACGGGCCTAGAAATCAGTGCATTCACTCACACCAAAAACTAAGCCGCTGGGTAGCATTGCCTGGTCTACTCTTCATGGATGGTAGTTATGGTTCATTTGTTTGACTGGGAAAATGCTGGCCACCCATTCTTGTGCTAAGACAACATGCTACTAACACTTCTCAGCCTCTGCTATGTGTCATAGTTTGCCCTCCACCTTCAATTTTTCATCAGGTGTTCACGTTGCCTTTAAATTCTAGACATAGCTATTTGTATTCATTGAATTTGTGGGCTTTATTTGATGTCACAGACGTGTAAATGGCATAACTGTGACCTTTCCACCTCAGAAAATTGCTATTTCCTTGAAGAAAATGGCCATAACCATCAAGATGGATACTGGCACTGACAGAAAATGCAGCGCATCTTTTCTTGCCAGGGATAAATTAATAACATTAATTGTTCTGATTATACCAGCAAAGCTTAAGAATTCTTGTGTAAATTCACAGTTTTCTTTGACAATCAGCCAAAATGGCCATTCATCTGTTTCTCTTGGGTATTTATTGTCTTGTGAACATTATGGCTTCTTTTGCCAGTGTTTAAGCTGTCCTTTGTTTCTGTCTTGCCTCCTTGACTAGATTGTGAGTCCCTGGAGCAAAAAGGGCTTTGTCTGATAAATACAAGCTGATACAGAGCAGATGTTTGCTAAATGTTAGATTTGTTTAAAGAAAATGAAATTTAAATGAAGAAAAAAAAGTTCATTCTTGGTTACTTAAAATGGCACACAAATTCTTATTTTACTCCCTTCAAAGGGCCTGGGGCTAATCAGCTCTAAAGAAAAAGGGGAAAGAGGGGGAGGGAGTCAATGGAGTTCTTTAACTCACGTGTCCTTGATCATCCAGTTCATTGTTGGTCAGCTTGAGTTTGTCAAAACTAACCACCTGTCTCATCCAGGTGTCTCCAGAAGCTAGGGAATCCGGGTGTATATAAACCCTTGGAGGCACAGGGGAGTCAGCATTACCAGCCACCATCCACTTGGAGCTATGATACACATATCTGAGACACAGAAGGAGAGGGGAGAATTTAGAGACAGATGCAGGGAAGAATGGAGGCCCAAGAAACAAATAAAGAAAGGAACAAGAAAAGTTGAAGAGATGACAAGAATGAAAAAAATAATGGGAATGGCATGATGATCATAAATAAGACGACACGATACTCATTTGTGACTATCAACGGGACATTCATAAATGAAAAAAAAACAGAAAAGTGAAATTGAGATGAAAATGGACAATAGGATGGGATAGGGGATGACAGAGAACTATCGTGGTTAATGATCAAAGCCACGGCTCTCTGGAGGAAAACATTCTCCGAGTCCCTTTTCTTTCTCCTCCCTCTCTGTGCCATGCACCCCTCTGTGCACACAGACATCCTGAATCCATGTGTCTAGCTAAAGAGAAGGTATTTTACTGCAACCTTTCACCTTCCAAATGCAAACCATATAATCTTTAGCCACTTGTTCAGGATTTTGTTCCTTATTAAAAACATCTTCCATATTGTCGTATAAAAAGCAGCCATGTGCAGAGACCCTCCAAGCTCCTGCATATTAACCACTTCCTTGCTAACCATCTGAATTCTGCAAGGCATATCTGCAAGAATATACAGCTTCTTGAATTAGTGTTTGCTTTCATGAATTTGTTTGGAAATTTTTCATTGTTCACATCATTTTTCCATGTGGCCCCAGAACCCCAGCAAACAGAAGCACTCCACCTGAATTAAAGCTTCCAAGATTCTCTTTAACTTACTGAAAGAATTTTCTCTTCTAATACCTGCAATAAAGACCATGCCTCTCTTGGCCTTCTCTCTCTTCATATTATTATGATCCTGGCTTCCCCATCCATATCTCAGCTCCAAGTTCAGAAGCTTAGAACCAAGTTCTCATACATTGGACATTTTAAAAATGCACCACTGATTTTACTGTAATCTCAAAACACTAAGGAAGCCATGATGTATTTTATAATAACAATATATATGCCATCAAAGAGATTTGGAGACTACATTGAGATAAATCCAAGATAAAGTTATTTATCAAACAAACACGCACCCATATTAAGGACGGTTATTCCCCTAATAAGGCTCTCTTCTTACATTCTTTTAAATTCTTCAATTTGTTCTTTTCCATCCTTTCAAGTGTTGCATATTAGATGTGAAATTAAATATATTGCACTTCTCTACTTCCCTCTCAAAAAAAAAAAAAACCTAAATTCCAACTCATGTATGATCTCACAAGACAGATCATTCAACATTACCTCAGTTAATTTCAGATTCAAGAAATAACCACTTAATTTTTGCTCCTGTAGGTGATGCTATAAAATCCTAGTCTGTCCAGTGTCCAGAGACATGGGGAGTATTTGAAAGCACACTTAGAAAGCCCAGGTTTCCTATCTTTAGTTATTGTTTCCTGCCTGAACTCCACCACACAGACTGCTGGCATATCCTCTACCCTTATCTATCTACCAAGTTTAAAGAACTGCCTTGGGATACTGATGATGGCTACAACTCCAAATTCTACCAGAATCCTTACCTGTATCTTTTATTATCCACTGGCACAATGTCCATTGCTATGTAATATTGCTGGTGTGGATCCAGGCCAGTGATTTTCACTCTCATGGCAGGAAACATCCTCCTGTGAAGATGAACAAGGTTGTAAGCTCAGGAAAGGAGAAAGATAAACTGGAGTACAAGCTTAGAGTGTCTTCTCATTGGGTATTTTAAGCACATCAAAGTCCAATATTCACTACTGACTTAGCTAATTATTAATGATCACTACAAATGATAAAGAAGACAAATATTTCTGAAATTGCATCTCTTTTTTAGCTTAAATTTAACCTAGTTACTGATTCCTACATTCAGCCTTACCTTATATTTTAATTAATCTTTCAGTAGTATATATTTTACTTAGTTTTTTTAAAAATTAATTTCCCAAGAAAAATAACAAAACAAAATGAATTGCCGCTAGTCTCCAAACAAAGGGCCACTAAAGTGTTTTTTTTCTTTTCAGTGCATAAAATTGAACACAACTTTCTGCAATTTCTCAGGCTGTCAAAGTGTGTGTCAGAGGAAGGACCCTGTGGAATAAAGAGCAAATGCCAAATGAAGTCTAGTGGCCTCTGGGCAATACCTTGCTTCCACCACAATGGCTTGTTAAACTTGCCAAAACAAGTGAGGCCGGGATGTGGCACTTTACAGCTTCTCCCATAACTGAAGAGAAGAGAGGGCATAGCTCAAAAGACATATTGGATTTCAATAAGTCTAGAATAAAGTTTGCCATTCTCCTCAAAAACTCCAAGAAAAAAGGAAAGATACCAAGCTAATTTGTATCAAACCAGACATTAAAAAGTGCTCAGCTCAAATATTTAGATTGCCCTGAGTGTGCTCTAGGGTACTTGTACACAAAATACTACATTAAGCTTAGCCATCTGGGGCTAGTTAATCGAGCTGAGCCGACCTGAGCCGACCACGGTGCTAATGAGGTCAAGGTCACAAGCTTGATCCACATATGGCCTAATTGGCTTTGCTCCATTTCACGGCCATAGACCATGCCTTGACCTCAGACAGCCATCTTGCAAATATGTGCATGGTTTTATATACAAGTCTCACATTCAATCCTCATCCAGGAAAAGTAAACAATAAAGCAAATGTCTTTATGGAAGCAAGTCTGTGCTATGAGAATCATATTTGAGGGGGACAAGATCTTTGATAAGGATGGTGGTGAATCCTGAAATACTTGCACCAAATGCATTCTTCCTTCACAGTTGATTATTCTCCAGTCATTTTATATTTTTTTCTTCCCATTCTCACAAATTTAATGAGAAGGCCTTGGATTTTAGCCTTACCAATAAAATGTGGTGAGTGGCTACACTCAATAACACTCACTATGAGTTACACACTTTGATCTACACTATTTCTTTCAAACACCTGAGCACCTTGGTCTATACTTTTAAAGACAAACCAGTAATTGCCTTCTTAACAGCAAGAATTACTATTCTCCTCTATGTTTTAATTACTAGGAGGCATCTGGTGAGAAACAGAGAAAAAGCTTATTAATGGAGGCTAGAAGATGTGTCTCCTTTTGGCCACCTATAAAGGCTGTGCTACACTGAAAGAAACAGATTTAATTTTGACTTAATAATTTCAAAGAAAGAAGCCTAGATATTTTTAGTTTGATATTTCTTTGGAACAGTTATATAATCCTAAGTACTCAAATTATAAAATTGATTTGGATAAATCATTCCATTGCTGCCATCTATAAGACAAAGCAAAAGCAGTAGATTAGCAGTAGACTGCCTACCTGCTTTAAAATTCTACATGGACTTTCTGAACTCCACAGATACTGCCTGTTCTCTGTGTTAGTATTTTAATGCTTTTTTACAAAGATCATAACACAATGAAAAAAGAAATTATCTTTGATATCTCATAAGGTGAGTTGTGCTTGGTATTAATGTTATAGTTATATTTAGGCCAATTCTCTGTCTTCTAAATCCAGTAATCCCATCAAGCACCTCTGTCCATGGTGCTGATTACACAGCAACCCAAATTGAGGGAGCTGTACAAGAAATCATTACAAATCAGCAGGACAATATGTTCTGTAGGAAGATATGAATGACAAGTGATATTTCCCTAGTTGTAATAAGATGTATAATCCTACCTACCTACCTACATACCTAAGAAAAACAGAACTTGAATATGACTAAGGAAGAAACTGCTAGGGAGTACATTGGTGTTGACAACAGTCAAGAGGACTATGTGAAAACTTATGTGCAGAAGGCCTGAAATTAAACAGAAGGGTTGGAGGTGCACCATTGAACTGAGTTCTAAAGTATGTAGAGCGAGGGGTGACTTAGACAAGACTGTATGGCGAGCATAGACCCAACAACAACAAATATAAAATCCAAACCAAAACAAAAAACAAAAATTCTAGACAAAAAATAGTTGTAATATTTTGCCTCTCTATGTTCAACCTCCCTACTAAAAGAAAATTCCTTTAATTTCTTTCTTTTCCTCCAATTTTCAACACCATAAAAAGTAGAAGACAACACTAAAATCTAAGTAATGGAGTGAGGCTGAAGATAATTCTCCTTCAAAGTTGATCTACATAATAAGCCTTTCATTAATACTAAAAGTTATTATGCAATAAGGGTACCAGGAGGAAACAAAACAATCAGGAGTGCAGGTTCATTTAATTCATGGTTGTCAGACTTTTTATTGAATTTTTGGTTTCTCTACAACCATGGAGATGAACTTAACATAATGAGTACTTTCAGGAACAATGAGGTAGATAGAGCCTTTTCACTGAGATATATATATATACATATATATATATGTATATATATATGCTTTGAAATAGCATATAGTATGCTTAATGAATTTTAGTATGTCATGAGTAATTTCAGTAGCTATTTTTATATACTTAAAGGCTTAATCCAAATTTAGTTTTATCTAAATCATTTTCATTTTGGGTCAGGCAAGAACTACAACTATAAATGAGAATGATTAATAAATAATTATGATCATTACTTTTTATCCACCCAGATGAATGAATTTTGAAACTATCACTCAATAGCCCTTGCCTTCACTCAGCTGATTAGCCTCTTTCAGTCTTCCTTTCTCTTTGTCCACATGGAAAAATCATATCTTCCTTTGTAGAGTTCTTGTGAAGTTGAAGTGTTATGTATTTGTTCAGTTTCCAGCATAAAAATAGATAGCTGTGGAAAACTGCAGGACACTAGTAAAGACATGGTTTAACTAAAGGTATGTTTTTTTGTTTTTGTTTTTGTTTTTAAGAGAAATGGTGGTTTGCCAAACTTTTTATTATCTTGGGTAGCTAGTTTCACAAGAAACTCTCCTAATCATCATGAAGTTCATATAATAATTTCAAGCCAACAACAAAATACTATGAATCAATAAGCTTGGCTCAACAGGTACACCAAACCCCATTCTTACAAAGACATATGATGACTTTAGTCTTCAAAGATATAAACTGTTTTAGGAAAGATTTCTTGAAAATATTGCATGGGGGAGTAAGTACTTGCTTTGGACCTAACTTTTTCTCTATTATGTATCAAAATTAAATGAAGAAGTATGTTTGAAGATGGGAAATGTTGTTTTGAGAGTAGAGATGATGCTAGATTTGAATTCTTGGGGGAAAAGAGCAAATTAATAGCAGACACAGCAAGACCACATTAGCAAATCCAAGTGCAGAAAAGAAAGTGCAAGATGTTTGAGCTTTGCTGATTCTGCCAGTTATGTGGGGATGGAAATAACAGGGCCCACTTCTGTAGTGACTTTGAGTTTGGTCACTCAATGGAACATCCTTACCTGCCTGCTTTGGTAATGATCATCTCCGTTCCAATATCATGGAACCTCTTCCAGAGATCAGCACATTGTAACTCCACCTGAATCTCCTCCATGGTAGACATGGCAGCAGGCACTGGGCCTGCAGCACTGGAAGCCAGGTCAGTGTGAGTGCTGAAGGAGCAGGAGGTCCGCTCAGTGAGCACCTCGGAGTCCGACCCAGTGCTCTGCTCAGAATCTGAAAAGTGAACAGTCAAGGCCGAGATGAGAAGCTAATCTACTGTCGCCATGCCTGGCTGTAAAAAAAAGGGGGTTGCGTTTGGGAGAGGAGTGAACAAAAGGAGACTTGAAGCTGGGAAGCTCCAGAGCACAGCACTCGGAGAATTTTATTATTTATTTTATGGTTTGTTTTTGAGATTTATGACCTTCTTTTAGGTTTCAGATTTCCAACATGACATCTGGCATTTTAGTAAGTTTTAGAAACAGCTGAAGAAAACTGGTCTGCAACAGGCAAAACAAGGAGTACCAATGTCACCATGTTGAAGGGAATGAGGCCAAACTAGAGTGACCTCTAGCCACATAAAATGAAAATCATCAAAACAGAATCCATCTCTAGGTTTCGACTGGACTTTTCACTTGTCACTCCCAGCATCGTGTCCTCTCACTCGGCATCACTCGGTTATTTTTAAACATAGAAATATTCCCTCTACCCCCTCTATTCCCTGATCACCAACGTAATGAAAAGAAGTGGTTTTGGCATCTTTAGACACATTATGTCACACATCTGAGTAAACAAGTTTTCCTAAGACTCAAATCAAACCATTTTTGATAGACAAAAAAAAAAAAAATGAAACCCTCTTTAGTGAGACAAAGATATAACCATATGGAATAAGTTATTAGAGAAAGCAGTTGAAACAAAGAGAATTAATGTGGTCAGGAGACACCTTGATTGGTTTCTGAAGTATGGGTGAGGGGATAAGTGATGCAAACAGGAGGTGGTATTCTAACCAATAAAATAAAAGCTGAATCTAATGTTCTAGACCACATGGGGTTATCTTGTGCCTTCTGTCCTCAGGAAGAGGAGGTGGGCAAAAGGACAAGGAGGTACTAAGTGGGAAGGGAAATCTAACATCAGAATTTAGTCTTTCTTTCTTTCTTTAGAAAGAAATGTTTAAGCTTTTCTTTCAGGAGCCTGAGATCAAAGCTTCTAAATCTTGTGTTTGTACACATTCAAGTCATCTTAATATAATCTTCTTAGGCCAAATGAAATGAAGCCTCAGAGTCCTGTTTATCTAATCCACTCCTTAATACTAAAGATTCTGATTATTTTCCCCTAGAAATAAATACATAAGTAGAGGTTATAGCAACAACATGATGCTTCAATAAATAACATTTTTATTTTTCTTCCAAGAAGACCATTTATTTATTATAGGTCTTTCAACACAATGTTTCTCAGTATAACAGCCCTAGCTATCCTAGAACTCATGCTATAAACCAGGCTGGCTTTGAACTCATAGAGATCCATCTGCTTCTGCCTTCTGAGTGCTGGGATTAAAGGTGTGCACCACTACTGCTCAGCTATAGACCACATATTTTGAGTATATGAATGCCCTCATATCTTCTCATTTCTCTGCCTCTCCCTTTCTTGTCCTATTCCTTCTCAATTCTCGTGTGTGTGTGTGTGTGTGTGTGTGTGTGTGTGTGTACATATAAATCCATATATAAGATCCACAAATGAGAGAAATACGCAAGACTTGGCTTAATATGATGACTATCTTCAATTGTATTGATTTTCCAGCAGACAAAATGACTTCACTCTTCATTGTGACTGATTAAATTCCATTGTGTATAAAGGCTACATATTCTTTATTTACTCATTTGTTGATAATTGGTGCTGCAATAAGCATGGACAAGCAAGTGTGGTGTTTTTGCTTACAACCCTTTGGGTATATCCCCAAAGGAGATATATCTATGTCATATGGTAGTCCATTTTTGGATTTTTGGAGGAACCTCCATACTGATTTCCATAGTGAGTGAGCTAATTCCCATTCCTACCAGCAATATCTAAATGCTGTTTTTCTCCCACATCCTTATCAGAATGTGTTCTCATTTTTTTCTTTTCTTACTTAATTAAAATGTAGTTATATCATTTCTCCCCTTCCATTCGTCTCCCATACATCCCATGTCTCCAACTCCCTCTCCAATTCATGACCTCTTTTTTTCCTATTGTTGATACATATTGATCTATATGTGCAAATAAATATATAAATACTGGCTTTGGAGTACAATTAGTGATATATATATGCATGCATATATATTTTTAGGGATGATCACTTGGTATTCAATAACACTTAGGGGGCTTATCCCTGGGGAAGACTAGTTATCTCTCCCTCTGTAGTTGCTAATTACCAATAGCTCTTCATCTAGGGGCAGGACTCTGTGAGGTGTCCCCCATCTATGCTGACATGTCAACTGGTATCATTGTTTAGGTCTTGCTCTGCCTATCACATTGCTGAGATTTCATGGGTGTAGCTTCTCTGTCATGTCTATAAGACACAGTCTTGCAACAGACTTCCTAGTCATGATAGCCATTTTGACTCAGGTGAGATGGAATTATTTCACATGCATTTCCCTGATGGTCAAGTATGTTGAACATTTTTCCATGTTTATTGGCCATTTGTACTTCATCTTTTAAGAACTTTCTGCTTGTTTCATTAGCCCATTGATTATTTGGGTTTTTGGAGAGTGTTTTGAATGGGTGGCACTTTATTTTCAGAGTTCTTTACATATTATGTATATTAATCCTCTATCAGATCTATAGTTAGCAAAAATTTACTCCATCATGTAAGATGTCTCTCCACTCAATTAGTGTTTCCTTTGCTATGTAGAAGCTTTTCGTTTTCATACAATCCCATTTGTTATTTCTTTTTATCATTTCTAGAGTTGTTGGAGTCCATTTCACAAAGCCCTTGCCTCTGCCTGTATGTTTAAATATCTTTCCTATCTTTGCCTGTAATAATTTCAGAATTTTGTGTCTTTGATACACTTTAAATTGGTTTTGTACAAAATGAAGGATAGCAATCTAGTTTAATTGCTCTATATGTGTATATCCACTTTCTCAGCACATTTTGTTAGGGAGACTGACTTTACACCAATATATTTTTTGGCATCTTTGTTAAAAATCAAGTCATGCTAGCAGTGTGGGTTAACTCTGGGTCCTCTAGTCTGTTTACCTGTTTTTGTTTTTGTTACTGTGGCTCTGTAGTGCAATTTTAACACAGTGTTATGACATATCCTGCATTGTTCTTTTGGCTCACGATCACTTTGACTATCCAGGTTCTTCTATGCTCCCATAATAATTTTAGGATTGTTTTTCTATTTCTGTGAAGAATGTCATTGGTATTCCTACATGGGTTACAGTAAATCTATAGATTTTCTTTGGTAATATAGCAATTTTCACAGTATTAACTCTTGTCAATACATGAGCATAGCACAATGTTTTGATATGCTTACAAATTGCATAGTGTTTAAATCAGGTTAAACATGTCCGTGGGCATCTGTCATTTCTTTGTGGTGAAAAATTTCAAATTCCTTTGTACACCTTATGTAAGAGTGTGTGTGTGTGTGTGTGTGTGTGTGTGTGTGTGTGTGTTACATTTTTATCTCTAGTCACCCTGCTATATATTAGAACACCAGCACTGGGGCTGAAGAGGTGACTCAGATGTTAAGAGTACTTCCTGTTCTTTCAGAGGACCTGAAAGAAACCATGTTAGACAGTTAACAATCACCTGTAACTCCAACTCCAGGGAATCCATTGGCATCTTCTGGCCTCTGAGGAAAGTGCACACACATGGCATACAATCATATGCATGCATGTGCATGTGTATACACACACACACTAAAAATATTTTTAAAATCTAGAACACCAGAACTTATTGTGCCTATCTCAGTGTAGTAGCCATTCATGGAGTGTCCCATCCTTACCTCTGCTCTTAGGAGCTCAGGATAACCGCCATTCTACATTAAGTTTCTAAGACACCTATGTTCTTTAGATCCCACATAAAAATGAGATTATGCAGTGCTTGTCTTTCTGTGTTTGGAATCTTTTAGCAAAACTAATGATCTCCATATCTACTTGTGTTGCTACAAATGGCAGGATTTCATTCTTCACATGGTGATATAGTATTTCATTGTGTAAATGTACCACATGCTCTCATTTGTCAGATGATGGGCAGTTAGGTTGTTTCCATTTCTTGACTATTGTGACTAAGTGTAGATACCTCTTTGACATGCTGACTTAATTTCTTTGGATCTATACCTAATAGTTACTAGATCATATAGTAATTCCACTATTAAAAATTTAAGGCCTTCCATATCATTCTTCAAGGCTATACTAATTTACATCTTTACTACATGTTTGCAAGTTTCCTTTTCTCTGTGTCTTGGCTAGCACTTATTATCTCTTGTGTATTTTAGAACAATCATTCTTGCTGGAATAGATATGTCACCATAGTTTTGATCTCTGATTAATAGTTATATTGAGTCTTTTTTCACATACTTTCTGGTCAATTTTGCCTCTTTTGAGGATGTCTGTTTATGTGTGTTGACAAATCACTTTACAGTGCTGTTGTGGGTCAGATCTTGCTACTAATAAAATGGGAGAAGGATGAGTCAGAAAGCCAGACCATGTTGCTACCATCCACAGTTGCCTAAAGCTGATTTCTAGATATATGAACAACACATCCTATTCTCTCCATCCCATATTTGTCTTCTTGCAAACCCAAACATCATCTCTAGCAACAACCACAGCTTTGTCATTATCCATAGGGAAAATATGTCCACAAGAATCAAATCTATCCAATCTCCCCAAGTCCTCATCCATCAATTCTGAAAAGAATCAAGTGCTGCAGGACCAACCTACTTCTTACATATAAGTTGTTTCTGACAAAAAAAAAATTGATGGTTTACCTTTAATCTTTAGTCCAGTAACTATCCTCATCAAAAATCATTTAAAAGTTTTATAGATAGACTCTACATGTCTGAGTGTAGTTTTATGTCTTGGGCTCATCACAGCTGTTTTTTATCCCTCCAGCACAGGTCCAAGATGTGAACAGCTGCTGAGTGACAAACGTCCATCCTGGCTTGATTGAAATGTCATTCAGAAACAGAGCCATTGTAATATTAAACACTCAGCCACAGACAGAGGTGTGTTTCCAAACTCTATTTGTCTCTGTGATA